GAATAAAGCAAGAAATCTTCTTTCCGTGTGTTCTTGGAGATAAGTTATTGAGAATATTGGTGAAAATTACATTTCAGCCCTTATGTTACATAGTCTAAAACATGGATTTGAGACATTGACAAAAATCAGAATTCATTTATTCTTTGCTCTTTTCCTATTCTAATTTTTTGATCAATCTACTGTGATTGTGCTTACTGTGAGTTTTGAGATACTGGTGATTTTGTAACTGCACACTTCTCTGTAACTATGATAAGGTGACATTGGAAATGATACCCAGTTTGTTCCCAGGTAGCAAGCACTTCTGAAAGAAGAATACCATATACATTATGATGTGAATCCTTCCTTTAGAATGAAGTATTACAACTTCTATTTCTACACATCTCAGTGAACAAATTCCATTTTTCTAATTATGGTTTTTATGATAAAAGAAAAGCAACAGGTGCTAACAAACAAATTAAACCCTTTCCTGATTAGCTTAATGGCAGAACAATGACAACGCTTTGATGGAAAAATCACCCAGCCTCTTTTGTGTAATCATACCCAACTTGTTTTGGTTCTTATTTTGCCATTTCTGTGTCATATATGTCCTATGAAACTGTATACTCGTGTTTTATTTTAATGAGAGGAAATATTTTCAGAATATATACAGCTATGCTCTTGAACTTGTGACATTTAAAGGGCAATAGAATGCTAATGTCACTAATAAAACAAAAATGGTTTTATAACAGTCTGCATGAGGACTCTCGTTTGTCCTTATCTTTTAAACTGACTAAATTTGACAACTTAGCTTGTAACGATCAAAATAGAGAATCATTGTGGATTCAAGTAGAAATAACAGTAAAACAAAGACATTCCTTACCTTTTAATAAACAGGTTGTCATGTTCTCCTTTTTTTGTAAGAGAAAAGTCTGTCAGGAAAGAGGTTAAAAAGTGTGTTTCTCTGAATATATGGTCTATAATGATTTTTTAATTACTCTGGAAGGCAAGAGGTTGCAATACAAAAATAATCCTTCTCTAGTAATTGATTTTTGTACTTTCATTTGAACACACAAAATTGGTTTCAGGGCTGGTGTATTACAATGTGCCATTGAGCAAGGATATTGATAACTTCAGTACATGAACTCTGTAATCTATCAGTTGCTATCTCTGCCCTCAGAACTTATATTTGGCATGCTAAAACCAGGTCTTTGTAGCTACAGTGACTGTGTGTTCAGAGCTAAAAACCAGGGCACTTGGTCTATTAAATATAACTGTAATTTTATGGGAACACTGGGTAAGAATATTTGAAATGAGGATGCTATAGAAGTTCTAAGACACATAGTTGCTGTAGATGAAGCCTACTTTGGGGGGGAAAATACCATTTTTTATTTATTCTTTCATGTATTATCTCAATAAACAGTTGGTGACTCTATAATAGTCACCAAACACTAGAATTGGAAGTTAGGTATGGAACCATGACCAAGAGTCCGTCTCAGATCTTTAGGCACTCATAGCGAGTCTTTAAGGGGCAACGAGAATGAGCAGACCCTATTGGCTTTGATGTTTTCTCCCCACTGGTCTTTCCATGTAAAGAAGGATTTGGTCATCATGAAGCATGGTTGTTATGATATGGATGAGAAGTTATAAATGAACCTGGGAATCACCCAGACAGCAGGGTAGTGCAGGAGGACTCAGAGATGGCTTAAACAGCCATCCTCATCTGTGTCCTAGCATTTCTGTTTGCTGCTCCTGAGGCACTCTCTACTCCTTCTGTGCCTTGCTTTGAGCCTCAGGAGGCTGATCTGCATGGACCAGATTCATGACACCCTGCAAGGCACTCTGGGCTTGGCTGATGAGATGCACCAGGAGGACACTGGAGCCCGAGGTCCCAGTGTTCATTCCTCTCTCTGGCCCCTCTACGCAGGGTCATGGAGGGCTGGCTGCATCACGGTCTGTCTCCATAGCTATCTCTTAGAGCCACAAGGCTCTCTCAAGGTCCTGATAACCACTTCCCCTGTCAGGTGCAGAGTGACAAAGACTCCCACTGCTGAAAGTCACAGGGTGCCTCACCATCCCTTGCTGGCTTCCTACACAGTTTCATAAATGGTCCCTTTATCAAACATTTTTAGTAATCCCATCTGAGTGGATCTTCTGTCTGCAGCCAGGACCATGACTGCTACTTAATGCAAAAATGTGGCAGCTACGCTGGCAACAAACCAGGAGTGATGAGACCACCACAGGTGGCACCGACAAAGAGCCTTGGTGCCTTCAGTGGCCAAAGGAGCTTGTGGTGGAGTTTGGATGCTTGCTATAGTTGGTCTCATTTATTTATTCATTAGAAAATGATGACATATAATTGATAATCCACTCAATTTAAAATGAAGGGAAATTATGTTAATAGGTTCCTTCCTACTAAAGAGAACCCTTGATTTTTAATCCCTGTGAAGCTTAGAGAAGACTGTTGTCTTAGTCCATTTGTGTTGCTATAAGGGAATACCTGAGACTGGGTGAATTATAAAGAAATAAAGTTTATTTGGCTCATGGTTCTGGAGACTGTACAAGAAGCATGGCACCAGCATCTGCTTGGCTTCTGGTGAGGCCTCAGGAAGCTTCCACTTATGGTGGGAGATGAAGGGGAGCTGGCGTGTGCAGAGACCACAGGGTGGGAGAGGTAGCAAAGGTCAGGGGAGAGATGCCAGGCTCTTTTCAACATCCACCTCTCAGCAACTAATACAGCAAGAATTGTCACCCCAAAGAGAAGGCATTCATCTACTCATGAGGGATCCGCCCTCATGACCCAGACACATCCCATTAGGCCTCACTTCCAACACTGGCGATCAAATTTCAACATAAGGTTTGGGGAACAGACATGCAAACTGTAGAAACTGCATAAGATCCTCTACTAAGTTAATAAATGAAGACTTAAAAATCATACCATGTGACTTTTACACATACTAAAAGCTCCCCTACTCAATATACAATTTGAAATTAAAAGGATGATGAAACTGATTCAATGGGTGTAAGTAGGACAATTTTTCCATTACCATTGCAATTAGCAGTAAGTCTTCCCACAAAAAAAGAGGTTTAAAATGCTTCTTCCATCACTATGAAGTAGAGAAGATTGATACTGGCAGAGAAAGCTGCTAGTTTGGCAGAAAATACTGGCTCAGAGCAGAGAACTACAGCCACATACAGTCATTTCCGTTGAGTAGTGAAGTGGCAGCCAGCACTTTGCAGAGCACGATGAGGGGAGGCAACAACATCTGAGTTAAATTACTTTTGACCAGTACTATTCTTTGATCAAGTAGATAAAGTGAGATTAACACCTTGGAGCAACAAGTAATCAGAACGCTGAAGTCTGGAGCAGACGTACAGGGTAAGAGAAAAGTGGGTACAGAGAATATGCAAGGAAAGAAGGAAGAATCGTCCTCATCTCTATTCTCCTGGAAAACTGACCAAGGATTAGTGAAGACAGCTATAAGAGATCCTTGCATAGCATATTATTTTCAGTACAAACCTGCTGTTCACATTTCTGATTTCATTTTCAATAAGTCATTTTCTGGTCTTCAGAAAGTATCAAGCATTTGTCTAGTTCTTGTTAACTGCAAGCTTACATGCATGTGACCTCACATGCACACTAGTATGTCATTTTAGAAAGGTGATTTATGTCTGCACATGCACTAGGAATCTAGAATTGCATTGCCCTGTGAAGGAGGCCCTGCATCCTCCTCCTTTCTGTCCCAGCTGCACGAACCAGGAGCAGGCAAGAACTCCATCTAGGGTAAGAAATTTGCTCCTCTGGGAGTTTCGAATCATGCTGCTGAGTCCCTCCGTTTGTGAATGTGGCTGGCATGGAACAGAATGTGGCAGGATGGCCTGTGGAGCATCGGCCTGAATACCTGAGACACAAACATGCAGTTTCCTCTTCCTTCCTCACAACTAGTGCATCCCAGTGAAGCTCAGGTGACACACTCGGCCCATGGCAGACCAAGGAGACTGGAGACAACTTGTGAACTAGAAGAGGCTTTTCATGCCACACACTAAATAATACGCCAATGAACTCCTGGATGTTGGCGGGAGAAAAGGGTTTTGCATGACACAGTTTGGAGATGGAAGGGGAACTAGGAGTCACTTCTCTTTCTCTAGCCCCTTAGATTTCCCAGGAGAAGGGAGGCAGGATGCTGTATCAAATTAATGTACCAAACGTAAGGGAGTAGATGTCATTTAGAATTCAGGCAAAAAACAAAAAACCGTAACAGGAAAAAATAATGGACACAATAAAGCAGAACTGCATTCTCCCTCATACAAATGCCCACAGGGGAACTGTCCAGAGCTGGTTTGGCAGACTCATAGCTCAGGACCCAGGTTCCCTCTATGTGGCTGTGATGGTTAATTTTTTTTTTTTTAATATACAAACTTTTTTTCAAAGATAACTCAAGAAAAACATGTTTTGGTCATTTTTAAAGTGAGATTAATTGAAGATCTCAGAAAAACTGTATCTGATCAACACACATGGCTACTGACACAAAGTTCTCTCTTCTGTTAATAGCAGCTAAATTTATACACACAGAAAAAATTCTTAAGGCCATGCAAATTCAGTTGAATTCCATATATTCATTATATTCATCAAAAACCTGCAGTAATATTCATGCCAAAGTGTTACTTTAAGAAAAAAAATAAAAATACACACCAAAACATGACCAAAATTAAAGAAAATAATAAATAAGTATAATTTATATTTTATTTTAAAAAGTTTGGCATCACACATATTCAAGTGTGTTACACCAGGTCCATTCCTCAGAAGTGGCATTTAAAGTGTTAAGCATTGTTAAATATCAAAAAATACAACTGTTTTTCAATGTAGTACTGGCATAATTCAAAGTACTGTGCCAATCATAAAGAGCATAATCAAGATTCAAACATCTTTTCAGACATATTTAAAGGAAAGCATATAGACCCACATTTATATGCACATAATTTATTATATTCACATAATCAAAGTTATTTTATAAAAGCAGTTTATCCCTCAACTAGTTTGTATACTTACGTAGATTTTAATATCTGTTCAAAGATTTTCAGTTCCTGGGTATACAGATTTTTAGAGAAATAAAGATAAAATTAATTTTACAAGAACACACGTGACTTCATCCTCCTTCACAAAATAATCCGTAGTCATTCAAGGCTGATAAGAACTAGTCTTTATGAAAGCAACTGTTGTCTAAAGACTACAGATTAAGTCCTGCAGTCCAAGTTTCTTATGAAAATTCAGTCAGCTGCTGCTCATTGCCGAAAAAGCCTACACGATGCTTCTACCAAAAATAATCTTCAGTATCCGAGGCCTATAAAGGCAGACAATCTTATCTTCTGCTGATACTTAAAGTGCAGCTACCAAGTGGAGAAGTGCTAGATTCTCAGTCACTTCAGAAATGCTTGTTGAAGGCTGTTTCTCATGTATAAATATGCTGAAAATGTCTTTCAGGCTCATAATGTTTTATCAGTAACTGTGACCCCTGCATAACTTCTCCCTGTGCTCATACACGATGACACAACTGTCCATTTATCGGTTGTTGGGTTATAATACTCTACCGACGCCAAGTTACAGGAACCATCGTCCCCTCCAACAACATATAACAGACCATTAACTGCACAAACTCCTGCATTTCTTCTGCACATGTTCATATCTGCAACCTGTCTCCATGCATTAGTGGTGGGATCATATACTTCAACACTTTTTCGTACTAAAGGGCCATCATGACCTCCTGCAGCATACAATAAATTGTTTAACACACCAACGCCTGCTCCACTCCGTCTGGTGCTCATTTCTGCTATATAGGTCCACTCATTTGTTGTAGCTTTATAGCATTCTACTGTGCTAAGACACTGACGTGATGCTCCGTCATAACCTCCTACAGCATAGAGCAAACTTCCAACAACACCCACACCAACACTGCTCCTCCTTGTGTTCATGGGAGCTACATGAAGCCACTTATTAGACTTTATGTTGCATGCTTCCACAGATGATAAACCTGTACTCCCATCAAAGCATCCCACAGCATATAACAACCCATTTAACACAGCAGCTCCCAAAGTGCTTCTCCGGTCTCTCATGTTAGCAACATTGGTCCACTAGTCCTTCACAGGGTTGTGGGAATCTACAGTGAACTCTTAATGAGCCATTAAAGCCACTAACGGCAAAAACAAGTCCAGCCATGTAGACCATCCCTGCCCTGCACCTCCTGGAAGGCAACTCTGCTACTTGGTGCCACCTTTCTTCTTTAAAGTCATAGCATTCCACACTCTGGATAGCCTTTGGTGCTTGACCCCCAACAACCACCATCAATTTGGGAAGGTTCACGGGTGTCCTCAGCGGGGTCCGGACACTCTTCATTAATATACGCTGCCCTGTCGGCAGCAGATGATACTTCATTGCTTCAATCAGGTAATCTTTGCAAGCACTGCTATTCTTGACCAATGCTTCCTCTTCAATCCTCTGAACTAAATATTCCCGAGGAAACAAAGGTAACCGCACATGTTCCATCAGTTGGGCCATAAACTCTTGCCTCACATCCTTGTCATGGTTCACCCATGCAATTACTGCTTCAAATACCTTCTCTTCTGAGAAAATGGTAAGTTTGTCACTTGAGATTAAGCTGCACACTTGTTTAATGCCAAGATTGAGAAATTATTCTATAAGTACGACATCTGCAAAATGATGCTCTGCATAGGTGTTGGCCTTGTTCAGAAGGTCGGCACATGCATGCATATCAGCAAAAGCCCGGATTCCTAAGCAGTTGACAGGGTGAAGCTGGGATTCCAAAAATTCACAGCAGGTCTTCTTCACATCCTGTAACTGTAAGAGACCAGCTGCTGGAAGAAGTGCCTGTACTTTTCTTCTGTAACCTGAATTTCTGCGGTGTAAATGTAATCAATTAGCATCCTCAGGGTCCAGCCATCTACCTCTTTTATTCTCTCTTTGCTTGGCTTTCACTCATCTCACCTGTAAACATGGCATGAAAATAAGGACTACAGGCGGCCAGCACCACTCTATGAGCAGAGATTTCCATGTCTTCTGCCACAATTGTGACATCGCATAGCAAATTTTGATGTCATTAGAATATATTATTTTTGTGATTCTTTGATGAACGCCTGCGTCCTGCAGTCAGTCACAAGCCCCAAGAAGGTGGCAACCATATTCGTTCTTCCTCACCATTGTACCTACAGTGCCTTCTTAATTCGTTCATGACTTTAAAACCTTTCTTCATATGCCAAGGATTCACTGTCACTGGGCAATGTTTTTCGGTATTACCATCTTTTGAATCGAGAGACTTCTGATGACCCTGCTTTGTGCATGCGGGAGGCAGCGGCGGCGTCTCCACTGTGGCTCCTCTCGGGCTTCAGAACGCAGGCACCGACCGCCGCCGCCAGCACCATTCCCGCCGCGGACGCCTGCACTGCCCGCCCGCCAAGCCGCGTTCCATCCGCCCCAGAGGGGGCGCCGCGCTTGCCTCACCGCGCCCCACCACCTGCGGCGGCGGCCTCCGCGGCCATGGCCCGCTCGGCCGGGCGCGCTCCGTCTACTGCGCTGCTCCCGCGCTCGCCCGACTGCGGGGCTGCGGCGGCGGCGGCGGCGGCGGCGGAGGCGGCACGGGCGGGCCGATGGTTAATCTTATATTTCAATTCGGTGCAACATGGTACCCGGTTATTTGGTCCACCATCCATCTGAATGTTGCAGTAAAAGCATGTTTTAGATGTGATTTACATTTATAATCAGTTGACTTTAAGTTAAGCCTATCATTCTCCACAGTGTGAGTTGGCATTGTCTATTTAGTTGAAAACCTAAAGAGCAAAGGCCGATGTTTGTTAAAGAAGAAGGAATGCTATCTCTAGACTACCAAAGAGAAATTCAACTTGAATTCTAGCCTTTGGATAAAGATTGTAACATCCACCGTTACCTAAATCTTCAGCTTGCCAGCTCACTCCACACATTTTAAACTTGATAGCATCCACGGTTGTGAGCCAGTTTCTCAAAAATCAATCTCTCTGTGTGTGTGACACACATGTTCTCTCTGTTTGGAGAATCCTAACATAGCTAGGATCCGTCATTGAAAGCAGCATCCCTGAAGGTTTCTCCAGGGGTCAAGGCAGGAGGGACGGGCAAGGGTGATAACATCCTGGTGTTTCCAGCATGGAGAAAGGCACAGACGGGGCCCTGACTTTCTCTGCATGCCCAAGGGTAGCATGGACAGTAACCAAATGTCTCTGAGTGCCCAAGCAGGGTTGTGCATGAGGTGAGGGGCTAAGGCTGTGGGCAGCCACCCAGCTGTGTGTAAGAATGGAGGTGTTTCTTGGACCTCTCAGAGACAGTTAATGGCCCATCACCACCCAGCAGGGTACTCAGTACACATTGTCCAAGCAGAGAGGACAGATTACTTATAATTTCAATAATGAATGATGCTAGATGATAACCAGGGAAGAAGCAACTCTATCCACACTACCCGCACCCCCCAGCCACACCATATTCATATGGTGAGAGCCATCCCTGAAATAAACAAAAGTGGGTGGATCACTGACAGAATGATGGTTTAAATAAAGATCAACTTGAAAATCCTGAAAGACTACTTATCACAAGATATCGAGCTTTAAACCACAAATGGTTGTTGAGCGTATCTAATATTTTCACCACTATATAGAAATGGAGACTCAGATCAATAAGAGAAATGAGGAAAATTGTATGTTATTTGCTTTCTATTTGAGGTGAAATTGACATAAACTTAACCTTTTTAAAGTGAGACATTTAGTGGCATTTACTACAGTCACAGTGTTATACAATCACCACATTTGTCTAGTTCAGAAACATTTTCCTCACCCCAAAAGAAAATTCCATACTCATTAAGCAGTCTTTCCCTGTTCTTTCTCCCTCTAGCCTTTGCAACCACCAGTCTGCATTCTGTCTCTGAGGATTTACCTATTACTGATATGCTTCATTTATTATGAATATTTCTATGTAGGCAGACAATATGTGAGCTTTTTTGTCTGGCTTCTTTCACTTAACACAGTATTTTCTAGGTTCATCCACATTGTAGCATGTATCAGGACTTCATTTCTTTTAGACATTGAATACTATTTGAATGTATTTACATGCAACAGTTTGTTAATCCATTCATCTATTGATGGGCATTTGAGCTGTTTCCACCTGTTAGCTGTTGTGAATATTGTTGCTATGAATATACATCTCCATGTATTTGTTTAAGTATATGTTTACAATTTTGGCGGGGGGGGGGTGTATTTACCTCAGAGTGAAATTGCCAAATCATTAGGGTAGTTCTATGTTTAATTTTTTAAGGAACTGCCAAACTGTTTTCCACATTGCTAAACCATTTCATATTCTAGCAGTTATATATTAATGTTCCGTTTTCTCCACATCCTCAGCACTTGTTATTTTCTGTTTTCCACATTAAAATTAAAATTAATTCTGTTTATTATAGCTATCTTAGTGGGTACGGTACCTCATTGTGGTTTTGATTTGAATTTCCCTATATACTAATGATATTGAGCACCTTTTTATGTGCTCATTGGACATTTATATCCTTTTCTTTGAAAAAATGTTTATATACGTACTTTATTTTAAATTGGGATGTGTTTTTGTTGTTGTTTAGTTGCACGAATTTTTTATATATTCTGGATACTAGACCCTTATTAGAGAAATAATTCATGAATACTTTCCCCTATTCTGTAGTTTGTTTTTTATTTCTTTGAAAATATCCCTTGATGCACAAAATTTTTCAATTTTGATAAAGTCTAATTTCTCTATTTTTTCTTTTGTTACTTGTGCTTTTGTTATTACGTCAATTAATTTGTTACCAAATACAGGAACTTACCCCTGTGTTTTCTTCTAAGAATTTTATGATTTGAGTTTTTATATTTAGGTTATTTATCTGTTTGTAGTTGTTTTGTATGGTGTGAGGTAGGGGCCAAATTTTATTCTTTTGCTTGTGGAAACCCAGTTGCCACAGAACCACTTGTTGAAAAGACTGTTCTCTTCCCCCTTAGTTTTTTTTTTTTTTTTTTTTTTTTGGGTTTTGGTCTTGTCACTCAGACTAGAGTGCAATAGTAAGTTCTCAGCTCACTGCAACCTCCGCCTCCCAGGTTGAAGTGACACATATATGATATATATTATTTACATCTATTTTATATATTTGTAAATCAAATTATAATTATATATTAAATATACACACAGTTTATTTTTATGATTCATTAGAAAGTATGTAGCAGACATAATGTGCCTTTATGCTTCAGCATGTATCTCCCACAAAAAAATACATTCTTTTAAATAACTGTAGTTCAGTTAAATAACTGTATTTCAGGTGGCACCTGCCACAATGCCTGACTAATTTTTGTATTTTTAGTAGAGATGGGGTTTCGCCATGTTGGCCAGGCTGGTCTCAAATTCCTGACCTTAGATTATCCACCTGCCTTGGCCTCCCAAAATGCTGGGATTACAAGTGTGAGCCACCATGCCCAGCCTCTTTTCCCATTAAATTAGCCTGGTCTCCTTGATGAAAATCAGCAGAAAAGTTGTATATTTTTAGTATATTCAAGTTTGGCTGAATTTTATTTCTCTTTTCTATTACAGTTAGGAGTTTGCATAAACAATATCCTAACTGTAGGTTATGATAAGAAAACTAGAGGAGATTGAAACAAAAACACAGAGGAAAGGGTTGCAAGAGAGAGAGCACCTGTTACTCAGCAGTTGCTGCTTCTAGCCTCTCCCGGGCTGTAGCTCTGTTCCTGTACCACATTTTCTTGCCCCACCTTCAACTTTATCATAAGTTCCACTTAACTTACAACTGATAGAATTTCTTTTTTTTTAATTGCATTTTAGGTTTTGGGGTACATCTGAAGAACATGCAAGATTGTTGCGTAGGTACACACATGGCAGTGTGATTTGCTGCCTTCCTCCCCTTCACCTGGCATTTCTCCCCATGCTGTCTCTCCCCAACTCCCCACTCCCCAGAATTTCTTTTTGTTTAATAGAGTTAATGAGTGTAATCCTTAAGACAATCAATATTTTTATCACCCATCCTCAAAAAAAATGACAAGAGAGAAAGAACTGTGCTTGACTTACCACCTTTAATCTATCTCTGGGGATATTTATATGTGACCATACATGGGTCACAGAGAGCGCTGGCAAACCCCATAACCCTCCACAAAGTACTGAGGCCAGAAGGGCTCTTGTGAGGATGCAGAGGCTGCTCTGAGCAAAATAAGCCCCAGGCCTGCTTTCAGGCAGGGCTTCCTAGACTCTTCTTGCTGGTGGACATACCTCCATCAGAGCTGGACTTGTTACATATGTTCAATATGCAGGTGCCAGAAATCCTTGATGCAGAGGAACTCATGCCCACCTGTCAATGTTGTCCAGAATTTTAATATCCCAGCTTCATCTTTCTGTGTACATAAATTTTGTTTTTGATTGAGGACTGGTTATTGAACAATGGGGCAGATTTCATATGCCTTACATTAAAGGACATTTTTACTTGATTTATATAAAATAGTCCTTAATCCTTTTTTCTTGAGAAGAGTTTCTTCATTCCTTTTAACTTTTCTAAAATAACCAACCTTTCTCAAGTTTTTATAAAAATACTTTGTTTTTATATGACTTTTTGGCTTTAAATAATTTCAAACTAAATTTGAATAGCTTAGACTTTTTGAAAACCCTACAGAAAAGTTGTAAGATTAGATAAGTACACCTGGATATCAGAATTACCAGTTGTTTATATATTACCCTATTTATTTGAGTGCTCTCTCTATATATACATATATACACACACACACATATATATACACACATACACACATATGTGCTATATATGCTTTGTATCTATTTTATATAATTATAAATTAAATTATAATTATATATTAAATATATACACATTTTATTTTTCTGATTCATTAGAAAGTATGTAGCAAACATAACGAAACTTCATACTTCAGAATGTGTCTCCCACAAAAAAGACATTCTTTTAAATAACATGTAGTTCAGTTATCAAAATCAGGTTATGTAGCATTAATGCAGTGCTGCGGTATAACTTCTGGATCAG